TACTTTACAGCACAATAACATTACTAAATAAAATTATTAATCCTTACTTGATCATGAAGTTGTTGAATTTGCTTTTCCACATGTGGTAGCAGAGCATGGGAGCACATGTCATGAATGAAACCTCTGATTCGATCTAGATCAGGTGTTGTAAGACAAGCCCCATGAGGTAACAAATGATTGCTTCCCAAAGGAGAAGTTACAGGAGTAGCATTGGATGAAATTCCTGCCCAGACATTGGTGTTGATTGGTGCATTACCATACATATTAGCTGGTGCTCCCTAGGAAAGTAAGAGTTTCATTTAGATAAATAAGATTAGATTACAATTAACTCGAAACTTGGTATCAAATTTGATACAAACATTTTCTGAACCAGGTAGAAGATATCCATCTTCTTGGGGGCTTAAAGGGTGTTGCATAACAGCAACAGGGGAGGAAGCTCCTGATTCAATAGATTGCTCCTCAGGAATCTCCTGGCCAGCTTCTTGTCCCACTTCCGTATCATCTGTGGATACTCTATTGGGCATTCCTGTGACACCACTCATCTCTGCTGGAGTTCTGGGGCTATTATCATACTCGTGGGTTTCAGGGGCTTCCGAATGTCGGCTGACGAATTGACTCCACGGATCTGGCAAATGGCTTGTCTCTTCATGTTGACCAGGAGGTCGTGAGTTTATATTTAAAAGAAAGCAATTATTTGCCCCATATTCAGCCTTGAGTGCAGTGAAAGAAGCCTCTGCCCTAGAAAAATCAAACCAAATTTAAGATAAGGGGAATGATTACTAAGAAGTATATAATGTTTGCATTGTATATTTCTCCCAGTATCATCTTTAGCAATAAAAAAAATCTCATTCAGAAAATAATGATGTAACAAGAGTTGACACTTACTTAGCTGCATCACCCTCATTAACATCATGAATTATGAGATGACAAATTAGTGGAGGGGAGGGTGTAGCCATCCACTTGGGCAGTTTTCCTGGAGCAACTGCTTGTAGACTTTGAAGTTGTTGTCGTATTCCTCGCATGGCATCTAATGGAGAGGGCTCCGCAGAGGATATAACAGCAACACAACCAAGGTAGTGTTTGGTAAATTCATGATCTGCAGGGAACTGGACTTGTAAAAATGTCTCTCGCCAGGCTTCAAACCATGGTGTAGAGGAAGGAACATCAATTTTTTGATCCCCTGTAAAGGTGTATCAATATTATATGATTAAGATGCACCAATCACGGCCAAATTGAAAACTTCACAGGGCCCACATATGGGCATGTAAATTACCAAATGTAAGAGAAGTGGTGTTATCATTAATTGCATTTGAAACTGACTCATTTAAAAATTTTCTAGCAAGAGTTGGTTGCGGTGGACGTGAATGGACATCTTGCAAACAAACACGTAAATTCTTCACAGCGACATTTGCACCCAAAGGATCACGGAAGTGGACTGTCCATGAAAGATGATAATAAATTAGAAAACAATCAATGGAGCCAGGCATGAGCACAGTAGAATTATTATTTGTCAGAGCAGTCAGCCATAAACCAGCCTTAGTTAGAATACTTGACAGGACATCTTAACCTACAATGACAGCTCACTAACCTTCTGATGTCAGCCGACAGAAAGGTTGTACCATCTCAATAAAAGACAGGTTATTTTTACGACAGACTTGTTCTGCCATAGGGCTGCTGAGTACAGCAAACAAGGGTGAGAATGCATTTTGAACAAATTCATAGGGGGTTGCCTTGCACTGAGCCATTTTCCCAGCACTTAATTTCTCCACATCTAAAAGTTACACTACAAGAAATAGGACTATGGAAGAAAAGGGAACGTCCTTTGAACTAACACGTCGTGGCACAAATTTTACAGCCGAATTTCTACAGTAAATATAAACATTATTGTGACCAGTCAGAGGCAGCCATGTAACACCAACACTTTAAAATAAAACACCCCTCCCCCTCCTCTCCCAACCACCAGCGCTCGGGCACACGGCAGGGTTTCAGTCCGTCAGGTGCTTTCTCCGATCTCCGAGAGATGGCGTTCGACGGTCTCGACCCGCCCGCGATGCGACCTAACGACCTAACGACCGAGGAGGAGGGGCTTCCCCCGACATTCGTTTGACTTTTCTTCAAAATTCCACATTTTCATGGAGAAGCTAATACGTGTTTCAACGCAAATGTTTGCGAAGGCAAATCAGTTGTTACAATTTTGTGACCACGATTGGCTGCGCCGTGGTCGTGGACTGAGATTGAGATACGGCGATTGATAAGCATTTCCCGTTTCTCGTCGACCACCCTATTGAAGCAGCCCCTCGGCCCATTCAAGCCTCAATCTCAACCACGAAAACCATTACTAGAGAGCTCTAAAAACTTCCTCCAGCCCACCTCTTTCCCTCACTCCGGTGGAGAATATGGTAGGACTAGTCTTCCAGCTGGAAGGTATTGAGGCTACGTATTTGTTGGAATGGGGCTCGTGCATGGTGCTGGTTGGTGCCCCCACAGTTAGCATCCTCTGAGGTGACGTCGGTAACGTGCGTAAGGGAACTTTGGATTTGGGTCTCTTGCTTTGGGCGTCAAACGTCTTCTTGCGCGGACAGCTCCCGCACCGAGGCGTTTAGGACGGACCGCGCACCACCGTATTCACACAGCTGCTTTGCATATCGTCCAGAAAGTACGCCCGTTTCTCTTAGATTCATTCGGCAATTTACAGAATGAGCTGGACGCCTGCGAAACGCGACGTAGGCCACCGCGAACAACACGGCTGCACTGCAGGGCAAGATGATGCATACCTTCCAGGCGCCATGAAGTTGAGTACTTGCGGCAAAATATTCCGCAAAATTGCCGTTTTCAACATCGTGTCCTTATCGTTTCGAGATCCCACCTCGCTCAGTACGATGTCGAGCGACGGCGTGAGCAGGCCCTAGTCCACACCCACCGCCTCCGTGCGCGATGGTTTGCCTACCTCCCTGGCGGAGTAGCCAGCTCGCGCCGCCCATCTACTGTACCACGCGGAGCTCCTCAGGGGATTAATCCGCTTGACACATGTAAGAAGACTATCTGGTTGCTTCCGATTACGTCCTTGTGTTGTGGTGATTGTGAAAGGAGAAACGAGAGTTTTTTTCCTTCGGACGGCGAGACCACGAACCTGATCGCAATAACGTTTGGTCAAGATGGTGGTGGAGAAGTGGCCGCACCGCGCCACCTCCCGCCGATCACTTCACTCCGCCTCCCTCACACCCTCCATCTCCTGCACCCCGTCGGGGTCGTGAACCTGTTGAGTGCAGAGGCAGAGGCACAGGGCCCACCCCTCGACGCCTTCACCAGTTGAATCGTTTCTGCTGCTGCGACTCCCGCTCCGCCGCCCCGCCCAGCCCGCGCCCCTCAGGGTGATGGGGAGGGGGGCAAGGACACCTGTGTTGTGCTGCCGCTGGAGGAATCCAGAAGGCCACAGCCGAGTGTCCGTGAAATTGAAATGTAGCAAAGCCGCCTGGACGTCCCGCCGTCCCACCCCCTCGGGGAGGCGCTCGCGAGCCCGCGCGCCGCAAGGCCCCGGGCGGCCGGCCGTGCTCTCAGCGAGCGTGCTGTTCCTGGAATTGAGAGAAGGGGTTGTCGAGAAAATCTTTGCATCTCTCTCGAGCCTCACGCGCTCTCGCTCTCGCTCGCACGCCAGCCTGCCGTGCAGATGTCGCCCTGATGTCATCAGGCCGCTGGTGGTCGCCGGCTCGGCCGAGGCTGAGGTTGAGGCCCTGGTCCCGCGGCCACCGCCGGCGCTGATTGCCGTGAGTCATCAGCCGTCTTCTGGGCGGGGAGACCAGGGCACCCGCGCGGTTTCGCGGTGAAGGTGCGGCGAGCGGCGTAAGCGCGGCGCGGCGCGGCGTGGCGTGGCGTTGCGTAGCGCGCCACCTCATGCCTCATGGGCCTAACCCTTTGGCGGGAGTCCCGAGGACTCGGCAAGCCCCGACGACAGGGTATTAGTGAGCTCGGAAAAGTGAAGTGAAAATCGAGGGAGGGGGGAGGGGGCGTTTTCTGCGAGTTCTTTTTTGAGACCCTCTCTGGTAGAAAATGTTGAAAGTTTTCTCGCGTTGTTTCATTCAGCAGGCTGGTGTTTACCGGACTACCGTCTACTACTGACTAGCCAGCAGGCAAAGGCAACCCACCCTCCCCATGCGTGCATTCGCTGCTATACAGTATAACTGCGAAGCCCACGGGAAAGATTTTACTTCACTTACCTCGGCATGATAACTGGTGTGCAACTTTAAATGTTAGGTTAAGAATGGAGGTTTGGTAAAAAGGTACACAAAGCATGGGGTAAACCAAGCTGCACCGTACCATCCCCATGATTAGGAGAGAGTGCGGGGCGGAGCCTTGGCGGGCCTGCACTCCGCTGTTCCTCG